ACCGCCCAAACTTGTGTCACTTGGCTGGCTAACTGTGGTGTGAGGTGGTCCAAATGGATTGGCGGTTTGCCATCGTCAGCCAACCACATCAAATCACGATAGATGAGGATGGCAAAGTAGTGGCCATTGTCGTGGCTGGTCCCTCTGTGGCAGATGAGGGCGGCTGGCACGAACTCTGCAGAGGATCTTGGAAAGCCATCGAGCGATCTCGGGACTCTGAACGTGCCATAGGGGTTGAGGATCTTGCCATGTTTGGTCATGATGCCCTCCACACAGGTGTTGCGTGTGACATGTGTGATAAGCACGGGTTTGTCGTCTAGCAAGAATTGTCCCACCCCTTGATTGGCCCATCCATTGTACAGGTCCTGGAAGCTGGAGTTGTCCGGCCAGTCGTCTGGAAAGTCCACCAGTATGGGCTGTTGGATGTGGTCCTTCAGGTAGCCCTCTTGGATTTCTGCAAACCGGTAATGGAATGCTCTTGTCTGTGAGAGGTTCCAGAGTGTTCACAAAATGATTTGCATCACCCTGAACGTTGAGATCATGTTTCTTCCAGAGTGGGTGAAGGCCTGGAAGCTGGAGCAGGTCCACAGCCTCTGCCAACTCGAGTGACTCTTGTACTGCTGGTTGGAGGTTTCCCCAAGGTTGGGTGTTGGTCTCTTGCAAAAGAGCACACGTCCAGGTGAATGCCCGCCAAGGTGCGCTGGGGTTGCCAACCTTCATGGTGAGGTTTTGCAAGATACACTCCGTGGTGGAGGCATAGGTTCCTTGCATGGTCACCTTTGGTCGGCTCGACTTTCTGTGAGGCTTTTGTGCCCCTCCTCCGTGGATCTTGATGACTTCTGGCCCTGGTGCACCTAACAAAGGTCCATCAGCGCCCGTGTCAGTGGCAAACAGGTCAAAAATGTTCACCTGAGTGGTGTAGTGATTTGCCTCTAGGTCAAGAGTGTGTTCCCCTTCACTCTTGATTGAGGGTGCCCTGGAACTGGTAAGGTCTTGAAATTGAAGTTGCAAATGAGTCTGTGTCTTGTCCCCTGCGCAGTGTGTCACTTGCGGTCCCCATGCCTGTGCTGTGCTTGAGGCAGCGCGGCAAACCGAATTTGGTGTTGATGCCGTTTCAAATTCATCAAGGGGTACCGGCGCCTCGAGCCCTTAGTTTTCCTGCGCTTGCTGGCATCCTCTGCTTCCTGGCCTGGTCTCTTCAGAAGGCCCTGGAGTTGCGAGCGCTGATCTTCTGTCAGGGTGACTCCTAAGCTGTTGACAAAGGTCTCAACTGCCATAGGGATTGGAAGCTCCGCATCCTCTGGTGAGGCTAGGGCATCCGGCAGTGGAGTCTTGTTGACAGCCTGCATGTATTGCTCGGACAGGGTTTTGAGTTTTTGTTGCCCCTCATTGAGCCGTGTTTGGTGCTCCTGCATGTCTTGAAGCATTGCAGCATATTGGCTTTTGGTCTGATCCAGCTTGACTTGCAGCTGTGCCTTCCTCATCGAGATGGTCTTGAGCTCAGTGACTTGAGTTTTGAGCTTCTGCGCCAGGTCTTTCTCAGTGGCTGGTATGGGCTGACTGAGCTTGTTGACGATATCTTGCACTGGTTGTGGAAGTGCATTCAAATGGGTCTGCAAGATTTCTGTGAGGCCCGGTTCAGCTGGAGTGGGTGGGCCAAGCCCAAGAGCCGCAAGCTTGCCCTGGATCTCGTTAGGAATGACATCCCAAGTAGTGGCCAAGAGTTCAGCAGCCGATTGCTGGTTCTTGTTCTTCTTCAAAGGTTTGAGTTGATTCAAACCCGGTGGATGCTCCAGTAGATCGTCTGGGGTAGAGCGCTTGGGCCATGTGGCGTTGCCATAGCTCTTCTTTCCTTGTCCATGGCCTTGTCCCTTACCCTTGCCGGTCGGGGTCTGGCCTTGGTGCCACCAGGTGCCACACCTTCTGCATCTAGTGCCTGGGTTTTTCTTGTCATCCCAGATCCAATTGGTGCAGTGTGTCTGACTGTCGTCGGTCACGATCTGGCCTGGAAGGTTCTTTATCTTGTAGGGATAACGGGCAAAGCTGTAGAACAGGTTGTCCCGAAAGCCGTTGGTGATAAAGACGGGCTTGTGCTGGAGGCCAAAGAGGAGTGGCTAGGCGAGAACTGCCAGGTGCCGAAGAACTCAACAAGGAAATCCAAGTTGAAGAGCAAGATCACTAGCAAAGAGTGTGTTGTACACGAAGGCCTCTTTGATCGCCTTGTTGGCAATGTCCCCGCTATGTTCGCGTGGGATTCCTCACTAGCAGGACTTGAGGGGCTGCCTGCTTGGACCGCTCGTGGCTTGAGCCATGTATGTATGTATGTATGTATGGTATGGTGTTGTATGGTATGGTATGTTCAAAGGGCAGTGCAGGGCAGGGAATGTATGTATCAATGTATGGTTGGTTGGTTGGTTGGTTGGTCTTGTTTAATGAAGCACATGAAGGTGAACACTACGGACTTACGGTTGACTATTTTTCCCCAAACAGTTTACTGTTGGGGTTCTATCTTAGAAAGAAAAGAGCTGGCCAAACTCACTGGCCGCGCCCCTGAACTCTGTGGCTGGGCTCTGTGGCTGGGCCTTGTCCTCCTCTTGTCCTCCTCTTGGCCGCGTCCCTGAACTCTGTCAACTCTGTGGCTGGGCTCTGTGTCCAGGCGTTGTTCTCCTCTTGTCCTCCTCTTGGCCTCGCCGGGCTCTGTGTCCTTCTCTTGGCCGCGCCCTGAACTCTGTCAACTCTGTGGCTGGGCTTTGTCCTCCTCTTGTCCTCCTCTTGGCCGCGCCCCTGAACTCTGTGGCTGGGCTCTGTGGCTGGGCCTTGTCCTCTTAAAGAGAATGAGCAAGAGAGAGAGAGACAGAGAGAGAGAGAGAGAGAGCGCTAGTGTGCTTTGGACGGCGCGCTCACAGCGATCCTGCGGAGAGAAAGACAGAGAAAGAGAAGCTTAAAGAGAAAGAGAGAGAGAGAGAGAGAAGAAAGAAAGAAAGAAAGAAAGAAAGAAAAGAAAGAAAGAAAGAAAGAAAGAAAGAAAGAAAGAAAGAAAGAAAGAAAGAAAAGAAAGAAAGAAAAGAAAGAAAGAAAGAAAGAAAGAAAGGAAGGAAGGAAGGAAGGAAGGAAGGAAGGGAAGGGAAGGGAAGGGAAGGGAAGGGAAGGGAAGGGAAGGG